TTCTGTGAATTATGGTTTTCTGTTTGTAGTACATGTTGGCGTTTCTGTGTTATGCTTCTTGTTTCACTTTGACAGTCTGTGTCCCATGTCAGTGTGTTCTGCTTTGCCTCCTTGGTCTCGTTATGTCTAATTTGTCCCAGTTGTGTTTCCCTCCTGTTTCTCACTCCCTCGTTACCGCATGTGTATTTAAGCCCTGTGTTTTTTCTGCTTTTTGCTGCTGCGTCTGCGTTTCACTCTGTTTTGGCCTCCATATTGCCTCTGCTTGTCATCCTCCACATTCCAGGTTTTCTAGTTTCTTGTTTTCAGTTTTGTGTGAAGTTTAATTTTCCCTGTTTGGGTTTTTTCAGTTATGTTCAGCTCCTGTTTGTATTTCGTTTTTGTCCCTCTGTAAATAAAGTTAACTCTCAATAAGTCCTTTGCCCGTGCCTGCACTTGGATCCTCAGCCGCTCCATGCCTCACGTCTGCCTTGTCAGGCGTGACAGATTATACTGGTTTCAACATTTGTTTGTTCATATCTCATATTTAATTACACAACAAAACGTTTTTCATCTGCATTAAGAAATAAAAAAATAAATGCACTAATTATCTAAACACATTAAACTTAAGTTTAGATATTTTTGGCTCTCCAATGATATCCCAAATTTACAGATATAATATGATTTGAATAAATAAGTTTTAATAAAGCAGCACAGCTTTTATATTTAGCACTGTGCTTACAGTCCATCATTTGGGCTACACCAAATGATGTTATTGTAAAAGTCATTTCATCATTTCAAGAAGGGAAGAATAGTGTTTACTCAGGTAACTTTGTTGTCTTTTAATAAAAGATTGTAGTGTATTTTGAAAGCACACCTAGCTGGCAGCTCTTTAATATTGCATATACAATAAGTCCCTCTGCTACATTATTAATTTCAATTTTAAGCAAAAATCCTTTTCTGACCTAATTTTGTAAGAGGTTAAGTGCAGCTAGATGTGTCTTTGCTTCATGTGGGCTGATGCCACAGGATTGTGCAGAAAATATGATAATGTCAAAATGCTGCTGATGGCCTTCACTCAAGCAGGAGGGTTGTTAACATTCTTTGTGTTCACATATATGCTCACAATTAGTTAGAAGCTGTCAAGCTTTACAATGAAAGCCTAGAGCTCTTGAACTTGTTACCTTTTAGTGGTTAGTGCCTCATTACTGCTGATTAGGAGACAGTAAATAGGTCTGTGTGAATGTGTGGTTGCTGATGATTCCATCAGTTTTCGCCCAGGAGAGGTTGCAGTCCACAGATGAATGCATGAGTAACTCAGGTGACACGTACCAACCTCACATCCTGGAATGCCTCGACAAGAACACCACTACACATCACAAAGTAAATGCTGGTTAATGTTTTGATATCACACTATTTCAATAACCACCTAGTACAAAGAATGATGTAGTATGAGACCTGAAAAACAAACAAACAAGGCATCTGGATTTCTCCTTATGTCATCATTAATCTCCTGAATACAGAGCATGTGCTGTCTGCTAAGGGTATTTACACCATACCAAAACTGCTTCCCCTTAGTCAGCAGGTGCTAATTGACAGGCAGAGGACAACCAATGTGACTTAATGCTGTACTTTTAGAAGCAGTATTTAATAGAAGACTTGGAGCAGAAATGCCATCAAAAGTTCATGAATTGCCTTTGAAATTAATAAATGTCCCCTCATCATATTTATGAGGCCCAATTGTGCATCTCACCTTTTATGCATTTTTTGATGACTCATCAAATATGCAAATGCAAATGTGACTAACCTCCTGTCCGGGTCACTGCAGGTGATAAGTGGGAGCAAAACACAGCAGGTCATTTTTAAATTATCCTGACAGCAATAAACCGAGAAAGTATTACTTTCAGTCAGCAGCGATGCAATGATAGAGGACAAAGGCAAGCAATTTAGACTTGTCTAAACTAACTGTAAAGATGTGCACAATGTGCAGATCCTCCTTATGCTGTAAAAACAACTTTGACAGGTTGAAGAACAGTGGACACAGTTGGATTGAAATCATAAGTCAGGCCAGGAGTTAGACTCCACCCCAGGCCACTCTGTTGACATAGAACAATCGCTACACCATATTTCCTCTTAATGATTATGTTTGTTTATGTTTTCTCTCATATTCATTAAATGAATATGAATATAACACATTGTAGGTATTTACAAAGTCTGCAGGGATTTTCTTAACTAGTGCAACATCTTATCCATCATTTGCTTCCATACTAGTGAAGAAAACAAATTGGTAATAAATTCTGTGGTAGCACCCAAAGTACCGTCACCCAGAAAATCTGAGGGATTCTACCTGTATCTGTGTGTGCTGCTAGCTTTCTTCTGTAGATGTGGACCAGCCATTTTTTCAGCCCTAGCCATCTAAACTGGTCTTCCAGAATGTCACTCCTGGACAGACCTACAAGTTTCCACTATGCTTCCTCAACAATAACATGGTATAGTAATTAATAAGATAGATAAAAAGTACATTCTTTTTAACACTACATGGCTGGTGAGCTGATATTTTAATGACAACAGAACAAGTGAAACAAAAAAGCGTACATTCCAGCTCTCATGCAACAATTGCATCGCCATTTGAAAAAAGAAAATGTTGCATTTTATGTGGAGTGTCAGGTTGTTTGTACAGATTGGAAAATTACTGGAAAAGGTAATTATTGATTGCAGGAGATCTGTACAAGACACCACCAAGGGATGATTAATAAATCATCACTAGCTTTGTGTTTGCTGCTGTGTTGGGTTTTTGCAATTTTCTAAAGTTTAGATAATTTTTTTATTCCAAGGTTTCACAGCAAGTGAAGCTGGAGCAGCAGGACTCAGAGTATTTCTGTGTTGTCAGTCCAAATGATTGACGTGTCAAGTTTGCACCAGGAATGGAATGTCACTTTCACAGTCTTCTTCAGTTCACGTGAAAACAAGGTATAGGAGACATTCACATTTGACTGGGGCATACAATAGCTAAGCTAAGAAGGATCGAATCAGGCAACAAAATACAGGGTCACAACAGGGTTGATATAAAATAGTTAGTTTAAGATACCTGTGAGGAATCAGGGTCATATATATCTCAAAATTATTTAACAACTCCATCAATTATGCTTATGGATTTTGTGCGTTTACATCAACCTGTTCACTCTGTCTTTACAGGACTACCACCATAGACTGATTTGTGTGACAGGGAGGGAAATGATTGAGATTCCGGTCCGGGCCATTGGGCTACGTGGCATTCTTGACTTTCCGGACAAGATTAACTTGCCTGTTTGTCCTGTGAAAGCTTCAACTTAGAAAACTCACTTTGTTTTCAACATAGGAAACAGCAACGCCGAGTTCAGGCTTCATAGGGAGAGGTGAGAGCCAACACAAGAAGGGCTGTCTGTCTGCTTTCTATATTAGGTGATTTTCAAAGTTAACTAACTTATGGCTCCTTAAGGTTGTACAGAATTGATAAGTGAACAGAAAACATTTGGCTTACCACCTTATCAAGAATTACATAACAGAGTGTTGGGTATACCTCTAATTAGACTTTGCAGTAATTATTGTTAGCTAATTAAAAGTTCTCTTGAATATTTCAGTTTCTAAAACAGTCACGTATAATTCCAGACCTTTTTCAGTGACATTTACCTACATCATGAGTCTGGGACTTGATGTAGGTAAGGGCATGCAAGTGACTGTGGTTTTCCACCCAATGAATATAAGAGACCATAGGCAGGATCTACAACTGCACCACAACATCAGTGAGAACACAACTGTGAGGCAAATTGCTTAAACAGAAGTAACATATTTTGAGGGTTTTTTTTCACTTGTTTCCAAGACTGTGCATTACCCAAATTATATTCAGTTTAGCTTCATTGAAAGTTGACTGTAAATGGAGTATAATAATAATAATATTCTGTTGTTATCTTTCTGTGAAACTTCAAAATATAAAGAAGCGCTTCCTTGTTTATTCTTGTAACTGTCAGAGCCATGAGTGGAAGATTTCTCCAAATCTTGTCTGTAATCAGCAGTGTCAACTAACAGAATATGTTTTTTCCTTTAATCACAATGGTGAACACTGGAATAAGATTCTGTTTCTCTAGCTGTGGTGATGCTGAAGCAGAGACCAGTGACGGCACAAACAAACACACAAAACTATGGTCACATGAATGTCATCTGCAGGAATTCCCTGCAGGCAGATGTGAAGACAGCTTGTTTTATACTGTTCTTTGTGTGTATCTGTGTGTTTTAGTGTTTCTGTCACATTTCCAGTCTTAGCAATGTTTTCTATTCCCACACCTGTCTCTAGCAGACAGATTACTGGGGTAATCAAAGTATTTGCTCATCG